TGGATTTCTGATTGCTGTCTCTCCATGGATTCTTGCAGCCTGTTAAATTTGTCATTATGCTTTTCTCTAATCTTTTTAATGTCCTCTGTTGCGGGTTCTGCATTTTTCTTAGTTTCCTTGAAGAGTTCTGTATATTAATCTTTAGTATTCTGCCTCCGGTAATTCCAAGAAGTTTTCCTCCCCTGGAAAATTTCTAGATTCTTTATTTTGGGAGCTTGCTGAAGCTGTCATAGATTGCTGCTGTATGTGATTTGATATTGACTGTTGTCTCCGAGCCATCAATAAGTTATTATATTTATTTATTTTATGTTTGCTTACTGTGTCGTAGCTTCCTGTTTTGTTTTGATATGCCCAAACAGCCTGCTCGTGTGAGCTAGTTTGATTAATGGCACCTTCAAAGCTCTAATGTCCTGTCACCAGGTGGTTAGATCTGTTACTAGGTATGTGAGCTCAGGAGTCTGTCCACTCCTCTTGTATGGATTCAGCTCAGCTGCCCAGGTAGATAGCCACCAAGTGTGTGGTGTAGGCTCTCACTTACAGTCCTAGACAGTCATGGGTGATTGGTGTAGGCACAGGCATCTGGCTGCAGCAGGGGGACACACTCTGAGCAAGGCGGGGGCTGATGGCTGCCCCCGAGTGTCCAGGGAGGAAGGCGTGTCCCTGTTCCCTGGAGCACATGGGTGGGTTTTGCAGCCGGACTATGAGCACCTAATGCTGTTGGCTGTAAGGACTGAGTGGCACCTCTTATTCATGGGCCCCTGTCACAGGTGGCTAGGTGGCATGGGTGGAGCCACCAGTCCTCAGGCCACTGATGTGGGTAGGTGAAGACCCTGCTTAATGGGTAGAGCAGTGTCATATGTCAAGAACCTGCCACTTCTGAAACAGTTGAAGTTAGACTTCTGGTATATACCCTGTTGTACTGTGGTAATGAGGGCCTATGCTGTTGAGATGGACCCACACAAGTCTGTACAGGGGGAAAAGCACTCAAAGTCCGTGGATCCCTTATGCTTGTGTCTAGGCAAAGGAGCTGTGCCTACCCTGGGTTCCTGGCTTAGGGGAGCTGGCAGTTTATTTTTTCCCCTCTTTGTTAATTTGTTCACTCTCCAAGGATGGCTCCGGGCATGTGAGGGATTGTACTTCTGGCCCAGGGGACTTGGCAATGGCTGAAGCCAGTCCAGGACCCAGTGCAGAGCAGGGAGCGGAGAGGTAAACGGGAGAGAGGTTTTTCCCTGAGTGGGGTGTTTTTTCATCTGCATGCAAGTACTTATCTTTTGCCGATGAGGGCCGCTTCTCACCGGTTCTGGGTGGCCGTGTAAACTCTCTGGCCCTGGGTCTCTCCCGGTGCGGAAAATGCGCCTCCCAAGCACTGCCGCTTGCCTGCCTCACCACTCACCCCCGAGCTGATCAGGCCTGAAGGGCTCAGGCTCTCGCTGGGTCAGGTCTGGCAACTCCTCGCTGCTTCCAAACCGTCTCTCCCTCCCCCTGCCACTCAGTCCATTTCTTCAACTCTGCCTTTGATGTTCAGGGTTCCCAGATTGCCATATATAATCAAATCACTTGTTTCTTCAGGTCTTTGTTGTAAGAAGGTCCACCGGAAGCGTCTGTCTACTCTGCCATCTTGGCCCTGCCTCCTGCCTGTTAAATTTCTTAAGCTTAAGTTGATGAAGTTGGGAGACTTAAGCACTAGTTCGATTCCCTATATCAGTTGTTAACTGGAACAAGTTACTTAAACTCTAAGCTCATGTTCATATCTATGGCATATGAAAATACTGTTGCACTCATGGTTGTTATGATTATGTTTAAAAGGCAAAGAAACTCCATATATGTGGTGGACACATTATCAGTTCACTGTAAGTGTAAATTGATTCATACATAGCACCATTGGATCCCTGCTAATTCTTTGACTTATTTTTTAGCACATTGAGTCGCGCACCCTTGCTATTGCCCGCAACCTGACTCAGCAGCTCCAGACCACCTGCCACACCCTGCTGTCCAACATCCAAGGTTTACCTCAGAACATTCAAGATGAAGCCAACAACTTGGGGGTCATGGCAGCTGACATCTATTCAGTGTTCCGCAATGCTGCCTCCTTTAAGGAAGTGTCCGATGGCCTTCTCACTTCTAGCAAGGGGCAGCTGCAGAAAATGAAGGCGTCTTTAGATGATGTTATGAGTTATCTTGTTAACAACACGCCACTCAACTGGCTGGTAGGTCCCTTTTATCCTTAGCTGTCTGAGTCTCAGAATGCCCAGGCCCAAGGTGCAGGGCCGGACAAGACCTGGCAGGAGTCCTAGCAACCTGAACATAAATCCCATTAAACCTTGTCCCTGTCATCAGTGCATGGTCCAGCCAGCCAGATGACAGCTTCTGTTATGTTGAAATTAATGTGCTAGACAAATCGAATTGGGAAAGCAGGTAGCTAGAAAAAGGGTCCTCAGTTATAGTTACTTCCAGCAGGATAAAGAGCTATAAAGTTTCTGGCATTAGCAGATATGTTGTCTTGTTTACCTGGCTGGTAATAAAAGAATGAGAAACTTGTCAAAACCTAGCCAGAACTCACTAAAAGTTCAAGTGAACTTGTGGTCTCCTTCTGTGGCCATTGTGTTGTCACTGTTACTGTATGTTTATACTAAATAAAAACTCCTTCATGTAGACTCTGGTATGAATTGATGTCTGCTCTGGTTTTGTCTGAGCAGGCCTCATCACTGGTTTCCCTTGTGATGCATGCTTGTACTACTTGGCTTTAATTTCTTATTTCTCATAAAGAAATTTCACCTTTGAATTAATAAAATTCACTGAAGAATCGATCAGTTTTATGCTGTTTGTTCCGTGTGCTTTGTGTGCTGCTTTCATAGAGCTGCTTGTCCTGCGTGACAGAGTTATTAATATACATACACAAATTCCATTTGATCTGTTGATAAATTTGGCAGGGTGATAACATTGGAAAACTGTTGTTAAAAATGAAATGTTTGATAACAGGTCTTAAGTTAAAAGCTGATGTGCATATTAGAATTTTACTGGGTGATGGTTGTTCCCATTATTTGCCAATTTACTGGACCCCTGAGAGTAGGCTCTTAAGTCAGTAGAAGGATCTACTCATAGTTGACAGCCTTGCTGAAAGGGAATCAAAGCTGAAAGGAAATGAGTATTTTCATCAGTCTCACATAAAGGCAGTAAGCATTTTTTGCCAAAGGGCAAGTTAAAGTATGAGCCCTATAGTGAGATCATTCAGGTCTGTTTTCAGCTGAATTTAACTTACGGTGTTGTCATTTTGGAAGAAATTCACTATCTTGAAATGTTCGTGAGATAGCATTTAGAAGACCATGGGCAAATAAATAATAAGAAGTAAAAGGATTCTGGGACCCCTACAGAAAAGAGTCCTTGCCTCCTACCTAAGGTTCTAGTCCAGACTTCTGGCCCCGTCAGTGTTGGTCAATTATTTAGGAAATATGATGAATCTCCTTATAACTGAGGTGCAGCATATCAAACTATTTCAAAAAAGCAAATCTTAGAACTTGTGAAATAGGGCTACACATGCTTCTGCCTGACTTTGCCTGCTAAAAAGGTAAAAAGGGCTGCCCTTCAGCAGAACTGAAGTCTAAGTCAAATTTGTCTCCTCTTTTCTGCCCTGGCTCCCCTCTTACCTCCCATGGAAACGAAGTGGCACATTTTACATGCACCTTTGGTGTGAATGAGTCCATCAAAGCTTTTTATCAAGTTACAGAACTAAACTTTTCCCCCTCAAGGTAATTTCCGGAACCATTAGGCAGGTGAGTTGAGTTGGAGGGCAGGAGATCACTGAAATACTTGGAGACCACTCTTTAATTTATTTTGCAGCCAGGAAGCTTCCAGTTCTTGGGAAGGGTGGACTTTTGTGATTTATGGGCTTCCAGGATAGAGCCTGTCCACTTGCCTACCTCTTTCCCTAGAGCCTGTGACACTTTAAAAAACAAAAGTTTCTTAGTCCAAATCTGGCATGCCTCTACCCCTTTGCCTCAAAACTCCAAGGCTGTTACTTTGTGGTTTATTTTAACTAGTTGGAAAAATCATATGCTATGGCTATACGCATGCTTTTTTATCCTGGACATACACCTTTATATTTCCCTGTTACAAGAGTTTAAATGACAACTGAATTCTTGTGAAAAGGATACAGGTCTGAAAGGTGTTGATGAACAAGGACAAGGTACGATGCAGATCACTCTTGACTTCCAGATGAGCAGTACCAGCCTTTGCTTTTTGCCATGAGCTGTGCACATTGGTTTCGTCTGTCTTTATGTCTCAAGTTTGTGTCTACATTCGCTACACTCAACTGTTAACTTGTCTCAATTTGTGTTGTCCTTGTAACTTGCAGCTTTACTGTTGCATAGCTCAGCAGTTTTAGTTTAACAGACTTTTTCTCAAGGAGGACAATTCTTTTGAGGGAAAAAGCTGACTAAACCGAGTGCAGTATCTAACCATGACAGAGTCTTAAATATTTGGCTGAATGAACCCTGGCACAGTACTCATAGCATGAATAAGATCACATTGTTTTTCAGTGAGCCTTCTCCTGCCTGTTCTGCCAATGCCAGTGATTATCAATGGGGGAGATCGGTTATCAACTCAGGTCTTCTAAGAGTTCAAGGATATTTTTGTCCTTTACGTGTATAGTGTGTAATATGAACTTCCTGGTTAGTCCTGGGAGAAAAATCAAAGGAACATAGTGTAATAGCCATTAATTTCTGAGCCTTAGTTTTCTCATCTGTAGAGTAAGATTAATGATGCCTGAACAGATGGAAGTGAAGTGGTTGAGGATGAGGTGCTTTTCTAATTTGCATAAAGCTAGGGTATGGACTAGCAGTGGTCCTGTAGGATGCAGCCTGCCCTTCCAGGGCCAAGTGGAAGGTGGGGCCACTAGAGGCCGGGAAGCACCACCTGTGGGACAGTGACAAGTAGTATCTTTAACTGGCCAGTTAAGCTTTCCAGTTAGGTGTGAGTACATAATAATAGATCATGATTAGGAAAATACATCTACTTTGAAAAAAATAGATATTGAAGATCTAATGAAGTAAAAAGGAAAAAACTAAAATTTGGTTTCCCTGAGATTACCATTTTTAGAGTATTACTTAGCTCACAGGTAGAGGGGAGGGGAAGAAGGAAGAAGGAGCAACATACTTGTACACAAATCTTTAAGAAATTGAGTCTAAACAATGCCTGGGAGAGCAGGTTTGGGGGGGATGGAAAGGAAGCCCTGTCATCAGTGCCCTTTGTGGCACTGGGAGTAGCCCAGCTGGACCTCGGTTCTGATCCAGCTCCCTAATATGCATAGATGATGCAGATTAGGGAGAAATGAAATCTAGTATAATGAAAGGCTTTGAATCTCATAGAAGAGGGTAGTCTTGATGTAGAAAGATCTTCTAGGTCTTTTGGCTTATTACTGATTTCATGAAAATGCTGTTTGAGAGAGCCATGTAAAAGATGTTAGAGCCATATTATAATACCTACATTTTGGGCTAACATTGAAAAATCTGCTTGGTACATTCACTGGGTAGTCAATGTGCATACGTAGGTTCTTACATTATTGTAGATACGTAGCTGCATTAACAAAATGGTTCAATTCAATATTTGAGTTTCTAATAAGACATAAACTCTTCCTTGAAGGAAATGTAAAATGATCTAAAAAAACTCATAGTTTTAGGGGAAGATTGTCAATGAATATTTGAATAATATTCTGGAATAGAACGCTGTTTGTCCCTTACCCTTAATGGCCCTGGGCTGCTAATTTTCCAATTCTCTGCCTTTATTACAAAATTAACATGCAAAATATGGCACTTCAACATAAGGCAGTATAGGAATGGCAGGACAACAATTTGGGTTTTAAGTTGTATTGACGAAAGCAAAAGAGAATGCTGACTTAGATGATATTTCCTGTAACGGGAAGATAAAATGTCTAAAGACTTCAGAACTTAAGGAAATGAGGAAGGTGGTAGACATCGTTAACCAACATTTTACAAAAGTAATGAATAGATTAAATGGACTTTTGTGTAAATATCATTGAGGAAGAAATATTTTCCATTTAAATTATAATTTAGCATTAATAAGAGCAGATGTTGACTAGTATGAATCAAGTACTTTTCCTTTTTCATTGTCTGTATTACACAGGAAAGAGTGGTGGTGTTAACCCAAAGGTCCGTGGTTTGAACCAACCTGCCGCTTCGCTGGAGAAAGATGTGGCAATCTGCTTCCATAAAGAGTTACAGTCTTGGAAACCCTATGGGGCCTTTCTGCCCTGTCTATAGGGTCACTATGAGTTGGAATTGACTTGATGGCAGTGGGTTTGGTTTCGGTTGTACTACATAGGCTAGAGCACGGGAAAACTTTGCTAAGGAGGTAGTGAATACATCTATCCGACCAAGTCCCCTGTGTAAAATGGCTCAAGTGATCTCTCTGCACGGATAAATCACACTGTCTTTCAGTGAGCCTTCCCCTGCCCGCTCTGCTCTGCGTATGCTGGTGATTATCAACTTGGGAGACTGATAAAATGCAGATTCCTAAGTCCCTCCCCTTCAGAGTCTAGTTAGTCGTCTAGAGGTAGGATCATGCATCCACAGTTTTTAAAAAGCACCTCTTAAAAAAAAAAAAAAAATCCCTAGTGATTCTAATGCAGGTAAGCTACTGACCATACTTTGAAAACCACAGGAAATAGAAAATGAAAGCTTTTAACCTGAAACAAAAATAGGGATAGGGTTAAAAAAAGTTTTTAAATGATGAGAATGGTTTGCACAATTTGAAGAATCTAATCAATGTCATTAATCTGTACATGTAGAAATTGTTGAATTGGTGTATGTTCTGCTGTATATATTTTCAATAACAACAACCAAATTGTTTAAAAAAAAAGGAAATTAAAATAAAAAAAAATTAGACTAGGGTTAGCTATAGCCCTTTCTCAACAAAGAAGACCCTCAATGTGGGCTCCATAAAATGTCTTATTTTAGAAAGACTTACTTCCTGATGAAACTGCTCAAATGAATCAAACACACAGGGGTTAACATTGACTAGTTGAATGTTGTGCAACAGATAACAAGAATCATTTTAATTTGGTTGTGATCAGTGCTAATTTACTCCCTAGGCTGAGAGTTCTAACCGTTTCCTTGGACTCTTGCTAGCCAAGGACAAAGCATTGGTGTACAAGAGGGTATTCCTACTTTATGACCGAGGCAGGGGGTATGCATCTAGCCCGCTCAACTGTGCCAAATTGTTCAGGTAAAGGGTAAAGAGAGAATAAAGCAGAACCAAGATACTCCTGATTCCTCTAATTCACAAGCACATAATCAAGCTGCATAAACTATTATGGACAGTGAGAGATTTCTATCAAAATCAAACTCCAACAGGGTTAGTCTTACATATTTGGTATTATAACTAACCGTTACGTTCTTCCACGTTCCTTTTATCAACCTGTACATTAGAATTACTTTTATACAACAAAACAAATTTTTAGTTTTTCTTTTTTCACTTTATTAATTCTTCAGTGCCTAGACTCTGTTTTTAAAATAACTTCCTGATCCTCTGTCACGTTTATAGGCACTGCACGCGTACTCACCTGTACCAGCCACTGAAACCCCCACAGTTGGTGTTTCTGTTCCTCTAGTAGACCCACCCATCCTGGGGCCTGGGCCACCTCTAGCCTACCTTTATGCAAATTAGAAAAAGGCCTTCTATCCTTAACGTGCTTTAGTGCCACTCCCTGGAAAATTTTCATAACAGATATGCAAATCTATGAAGTCTGTGATATGGAAGGTGCCCCATAAGATTGCATGGTACACAACCTGCAAAAAAAAATGTATGCAGTGTTCAGGCAGTCCTATCATGGCCACTTGGTTTTCTTGAATGGAATGTCTTGCTGGTTTGCTGTCCTTGGCTGGAGGGACTATAGTTACCTAATTAGTTCTGCAGTAAGCATCTGATTCTGAGTTTGGCCTCCGTCCCTGATGGGCATTCTCAGTAAGAGTCTCCTTACATTTCTGCTTTGATGGTCTATGTTTTCCATTTATGTCAGTGGAAAAGAGATTTAATTTAGAAATCTGTGGAAGGATTCCACTTGTGCCACATTTCTAAAAACCCCATGAAATTGTTAGGCAGGACTACCAGATTACATACTAAAGCCACCATGAAAAGCTGATAGATCATAATTACCTCTTAGCTGTCCCAACCGCCCCTTTTTCCTTCACAGCCTTCAAGTAGGCTTTGGTGATAGCTAGGGATAATGAAAATTAGACCTCTCAATCATTTTGGATATATGGAAGGCCAATTTCTCATGTAGTTCTCCTAAAGCATTTTGGAACTAGAGGTACTTCTTTTGATGGTGGAGCTGGGGTAACTTTTCTCCTAAAACCTTGATGTCTTTCCAAAAAGTGTGTGGGACCTCCAGCTTCCTGCAAAGAACTATAATTTAGGTCAACAGTAGATGGTCTGTAGTTGATTTTGGAGGTTCAGTGGGGGATATTTAAGGAACTAAAAATAATCAAAGCTACTGTTTATTGAGCTACCTTTATTCCTCACCTATAGTCCAATCAATTAGAATTTTCCTCACATGAAGGATGAGGAAACTGAGGTAGAAAAGGTTGATATGTGCAGGATGGGAAGATAGTCTGATGTTTTACTGATGTCAAAGCTCTTACGTTTTCCATTCTAGCACTCTAGACCTCTGATAGGAAAAGACTGCAGCTTACATCCTTGTTTGGGGCCCAGAAAATCCCTCTGCTTATATGCTTTTGTGTCATAGCTTTCTGTTCTATTTTACATTTATTAAAAATGAACAGAATATTGGATGTCAAAATATACATTTAATAGAAATAGTTCAGAGAGAGCTAAGCAAAGCAAGCCTTCCAACAAAAAAAAAAGCTAAAATTGCAATAGTTGGCTTGCCTACTGGTGCCCTGAACCCATTTGTGTAAACGTTGCTGGCTTTTGTGGATGTCAGTTTGGATATGATCTTTACAAAGTGAATGATCATGAAAAGCTAGGGTGCAGCTTGATCTCCCCAAACTGAAAGTGTCAGGAGAAAACAGTGGACGTTTATACCTCAGACTACATAATCCTCTGAGCACTTGGCTTCTTAGGAAGTGCAGTTAGGGCCACAAACAGGTAAAGGGCCCAATGAACAAAGCAAGATTCTCTTCTTGTGTGTGTTTTAAGGGATTCGTTTGTTGTTAGTTGGTTATGTTTTATTTCGTCTCTGTTAGGCAATCAGCTATTTTTTCCTCTGCTATGAAGATTCCAGTCTTATATCAAGAATTTAGTAATATATTATACCTTACTAATTTTATGCTTTTAATCTGATATTGGCTAAAGACCTATTACTTAGCTTATCAAAATTTTAAGAGTCAATAGAGCTTCTTATCCCTAAAGCCTTTCCTGTGCAGTGAAGGGCTAGGGCTTTATGATGGCTATTTCAACTGTTAAAAGACCTTTTGTTTCTTCAGTTCATGGACATCTGAAGAGTTTATATTATTGGAAGTCAGACTTATGGATACGTGGCGTATTATTATTTTCAAAAGAGTAATAGATTAATAGACAAATCACCAGAAATTTTTTTTTAAGCCTTCATTTGATAGGTTCCACCAGCAGTTTCCATTTAAAGAGAAATTTCCTTAGTGCTTTTATAATATGAGTGAATTGCAGGAATAAGAGTACAAAAAATCTTCTCAGAAAGCGCAGCTATGGATAAAGTAAGGTTTACCCACATGCAGTGTCTTAGTCATCTAGTGCTGCTATAACAAACAGAAGTACCACAAGTGGATAGCTTTAACAAAGATAAGTTTATTCTCTCACAGTCCAGAAGGCTACAAATCCAAATTCAGGGCATCAGCTCC